AAAGGAGCAGTGGCGGTTCTGTCCGGCCAGAGGAAATGACATCCGAACTGGCAGGAGATCAGAAATAATCATGCCCGATCTGACAGAGGCCTAGAAGTGTGTGCGCGAGGTGGTTATAAAAGGCTCCTACCCCAGAAGAACGAGGTATGCTAACTTTTGCGCTATCTGGTCTATCTTGCCTTTGAAAGATTCTAACTTGAGCTTCGGAGCCCTTACGCCGGGTTCTCCCTGGAGCTTCTCTTCTCCCTCCGTTTCAGGTCCCTGCCACTCAGTTCAGAGGCAAGATCGTCGACAGCTAAGATCGGCCGGATTGTGCATCATTAGGAACCTTCGAGGTTAGCTCACCTTGCTCATCATATTCATGACCTGTCTTCTCTGTTGAACTGCACCTTTAGAAGGATTCCTCAAGAGATCAATCAAACTGCAGATGTTTTAGTTGAATCAGACCCTTCTTTTTTGTTTTTTCTGGCCTGTTTGTACATCTCATATGTACATCCTCCCCCCTTTTTTTGAATATAAGTTATCTTTTTCTTCAAAAAAAAAAAAAGATATTCCCGATGCAGGACTATAGTGTATGCGATCCAATCACATATTTGGAACATATCCCATACTTGTATGTTGTCATTCATAGGAGATGTTATCACTCATGCACATGCATATAAGTATAGATAGATTAATAGATGGATATAGTGAATGCATATTATATAATAACATTTGGTCAACGCGTCAACCCTAACCCAACCCAAGCCCTTGTTTGGAAATAGTTAAGCACTTACTAATGTTTGGCAAAAAAAGCCTAAAAGTGCTTATTTTAAAAATAAAAACTTAAAAAACAAACCAAAATTGGATGACTTTTTAAGTGCTTATTCAATAAGTACTTATTTATTTTTTTTGCGATGAGATTGTCCCCAATGTTACTTCAACGGAAATCCAAACTAGTGGAAGCGATCAAGCACCCTTTCACATAACCACCGCCACCACAATGTCATCTCTCTCTCCTATTCCTTCCTCCATTGTCTTAATCGAGTCTTTTCCAAACCACCATTGCCTCTCTCTCCTTTTATTTAATTACTTATTTGGGCTAATCCAGCCCAAGTTGAGGAAAAGTTCTAGGAAATTCATAAAATTTGTTAAGAACCTTCCTAACTTTCTCTATCTTATTTTATATCAAATAAAACATAGTACAGTAGTAAATGGATCATGCATTTTATTCTGCTTTTCATTCATTGCACATGGACTACGCTAACTGACCCGGTTCAATGAAAATACCAAGGAGTTGACATAGTACGAAGTGGAGTTGCAATTGATTTACGTTTGTCTTCTGCTGCCCTCCTCGCTAGTTGTTTCTGCTACGACTTATCTTTGATATGTTTTTAAAGTTATCCAGAAGAGAAGAGGTCAATAACTTCCCTTTCTTAATTCACTTTGTAAGGTTTTCAGGAGACAAGTTTGAATGTTCAAACTTGTAAGGTTCAAAGTATCAATAACTTCCCTTTCTTAATTCACTTTGAATGTTCAGACTTGTAAGGTTCAAAGTATCGATACAGGCTGATATGCTTTTTGTGGCTCTTTTTTTTTAATCCCATAACATTCTTTGTAAGGGTGTATCATGAAGCTCCTGATATGATACGTATCAATCGATATTGCCTTGATACATGTTGAAATTTTGAACCTTGATTATTTTTAACCACTTAATAAAATGAAATTACTTACTCGGAAATTCCTTCACACTAGATATATTAAAGCTGATAATGAGGAACAACAATCAGTAAAATTGAGGCTTCTTGCAAGAAATCTTCAAAGAGACATATGCGGTTTTGGCTTCAGACAGGATGAGAAAGAATTTTTCAGCTCTGTAAAGATCATCCTTAGCGCTCATTTATGGATACTGGAGTCATTTGACCATTCATGAATCTAACTGCAATGACAATCCATTCTATAATCAATGTCACAGTCAATGAATCTAACCGCAATAACAGCCCACTCTAAATCAATGTCACAGTCAATAGTTATTGAAGGATTTAAATCATAGTCATCAATTGCACCCAATCCATCAACTCTTCATCATCACTTTATAATTAGATATGATTAATGAAGGCAAAATCTATATCAATGAATGCACCACCGTAATTGTACTTTAAAAAAATATAATAGTCACGAGTAGACCTGTTCATGGGCCGGGTGGCCCGACGGGCCAGCCCAACCCCGGACGGATTTGAACAGGCTTTTTGGCCCGTGGGTTTAACCTTAAGTCAAAAAGCCCGGCCCGCATAAAATTCGAGCCAGGCTCGGGCTTTGCCAAAATAGCCCAGCCCGAGTCCGGCCTGGCCCGACCTATAGTTAAACCTAAGTAAACCCGGCCTGACCTATAGTTAAAACTAAGTAAAAACCCTATGTGATGTCTATTTGAATAAATTTTTTGATTTGAGAAGGTCATTGATTCACTTGTAGGCTCATTGTTCATTTAAATAGGGGAAAAAAMAWYYWAAWTTAAAATAAAAAATGTCCATTTGAATAGGGAAATTTTTGAATTTCTTTTATTAGGTCGGGCTTCGGGCTTTTTATCAGGGCCGGGCTCGGGCCCAAGTTATAGGCCCATTGGTCGGGCCGGGCTCGGGCTCGGGCCTAACAGTTTTTTGTTAATAAAGAGTCAAAGCCCGGCCCGGCCCATGAACAGGTCTAGTCACGAGTAAGATCATGTGCATTGTATATCCAATATCCAAGGATCAAAATTTCATCACGTATCGACCCATATCAGTCAATGCGTATCGTATTAGGGCTTTCCCGATATGTCCCTATAGGGAATGTATCGGGTCAGGCAATGATTCAGAAGGTAGCCAGGACTTAAACCGATATTTAGAACCTTCCCATATCACCCTATCAGCGTATCAGCCTATATCGATATTTAAAACCTTCCCGATATCTAATTTCCACTAGTGTTTGGTTCTTCAAATGGTTTTCTTAGAGAGAGAAAAAAAAAAGAATCATTAAAAAAAAAAAGTAGTGTGAATCATTTAGTATTTATCTTCTCCTAGAACCCATGTATTTGATTTGTGGATTTTTATAGTTAAGCTTAAATTTTAGTTCCTTTTACTTATTCAGCTTTTCCTTCTCTTTTCTTGGCTTTCTCTTGTCATGAATGTGATGCGAATAAGTGAGGAAAAAAGGGGTGTGTCCCTATGGGAAATAGGATCCTCTTTTTTACTTTCCATCCTACAATACTAGGTGCCACATATGTAATAGAAAATTCTCTATTAGTTGACAAAGAACCCAATTACACCAAAATGTATCCTCCCGTAAAAGCAGACTTGGCCCTCATTATATATGTAATGCATCAGCTACATCAGTATCTATTCTTTTAGCAAATGGATCCTTCAGATAATGAGAATTACCACTTGGGTTGGGAATATCTGGATGCATTTGGTTCAACCATGCATGTGTCTAGTTACATATCCGGGTCTCGTGCTAAGGGGTGTTCTATAACATTAATGTTTTTGTTTTCATTTATTTTAAAAATTGATATATCAAATGCATTTTTAATTAAAATTTAGGGTTTTAAGGTCAGGATTTTATATGTTTAAGGTTTAGGGTTTAAGGTTTAAGGTTTAAGGGTTTAGTTAAGATTTAGGGTTTTCAAACCAATGGGAAATGGAAAGCGGGTGAACCAGTAAGACCCAGGAGTGGGTAAGGCAAATTTATCATCCCAGAGTGGATGCAAAAGTGTACGACGGCGACCCTAAATCTTGCCGTAGTGTCTGAGATATCTTAAAACACAGAGGTCCTAATCAACAGAATGATCAGACCAATTTGAGAATCCATCCAAATATATCTCTAAAAGAAAGAAAGAGCATTCTCCATCTCCTTCCTTTACAGCTTTCTCGTTTAAACAGTGCAATTGATCTCCAACTCTATTGACGGCCTGAACTGTATAAATAAGAGGCCTTGAAAAACCTAATATCATATTACATTCACACCCACCCAAAATGGATATTGTGATGAAACTGGCGTCCAAGAAAGCAGTGGTGATCTTCAGTAAGAGCTCGTGCTGTATGTGTCATGCAATCAAGACTCTCTTCTATGACCTTGGGGTGAGCCCCGCCATCTACGAGCTTGATGAGGAAGCAAAGGGACGAGAAATGGAGAGGGCGCTCCAAAGCTTAGGATTAAACCCTTCTGTGCCTGCAGTCTTCATAGGGGGTCGACTGGTGAACTCCACCAGCACAATCATGTCCCTTCACCTCTGTGGCTCCCTGGTTCCCATGCTCAAAGAAGCTGGAGCCATTTGGCTCTGATATCCATCCAATAACCCCTAATTAGTGTCATTTGTTTCACTAGTTTTTAAGAAATAATAAGGTTTCCGTGTAGAATTTACATTTCATCTCTGAGCTTCTGTGTATCTTAATCAGTGTTGTTAAATCAAGCAATTTCTCACTGGTAATCTATCTGCTGGCCTGCAATCATGAACTTAAAGCGTTGCCTTTGGTTGCATTTGCACCGATGTAAATGCATGCATGCAAGTGCAAATAGGTCGATTGTAAATTCTTGCTTACTACTTTTGCTTCAAATTTTATTTTTTTTGTTTGTGAAAAGTAAAATGGGAAGCAAAATGATATGGTCCCACCTTAGATGCACGTAGATCTTTTCACGGGCTGGGCTTTGGTTTCAGATTAATTTATACTGTTTAAGGCATGGGCTTTGAGCCAGGTCCATTCAAATTTTGGCAAAAGCCAAGCCCAAGCCTGGCCCATAAACAAATCTAGATGCAAGAAAGTGGAGGTAAGAGTTCCGGGAACAAATGCAACTCAGAAGACAAGAACTCCAGAAGGTGTGAAAGAATACTCTTGCAACTTTCAACAAGTATTAGAAAGCTCCAGGGAGGTTGTGAGGAGTCCTGTAATAATAGTTTAACAAGCACTTCTGCATCACCTTCAAAGATGGCAAGAGTGATTCCAAAGGGAGGAAGCAAGATAATGTGGTTCCACTTTATACGAGAGAGAATTGAAGAGGAAGGTGGTGCAAATTTTGCATCAGTTTTTGAGATATAAAATTTACACTGTTAGTAGGTGCAAATGAGACAAAAGGTAGTAATGTACATTTTGGTTGCTGTGCAATTTTATTTGCACCAGTACAAATGCATAGGAATGCAAATGAAGAAAATGCAAATTCTAGTTTAATTTTGTTTTGGGTTTTATTTTATTCTGCTTCACATCTTAATTTACTTCATGTGTACTCCAATCAAACAAAATAAGATAAATTTGAAACAAAGATAGGTCAGAATTTACACTCAAACCATTTGCACTGTCAAAGTTTTGCATCAGTACAAATTTATTTGTATTGCAACCAAATACAGCCTTTGTATCAAGTGTAAGTGCAAATGAGAGAGAAGGTAATGCAAAGCATATTTGTATCAGGTAGTAAAGTACACTTCTATCAACTAGTCCGATCGTCCAAACCAGTCCAGTTTCTAGAACCATGTACAAATTACAAAACTAAATTGAGTGCAAAATTTGTATCTGGTTCAAATTTACACTGCAACTAAATGCAGCCAATGGCTCTATTTGTTTGTAGTGTAAATACAAATTTTGTATTTAGTTCAAATTTGCATGTATTTATTTGTGACTATAATTTGCACCTTTTTCTCCCTACTTATAAGGTGAAAACCATATTAATTTACTTATTCCCATTTTTACTCCTCCCAGACGAACAGTCAAACAACCTTCCTCGTAATTTCATTTTCTGTCTTTTGAAGTGTGATCGATCACCTAATTTTGCTTCTTAATCCTCCCAAACAGAAACAATAAAATAAAACTTGGATTTTCTTTCAGCCCATTCATACTCTCATAAATTTGCTCTCATGCAAACAAACAGAGCCAAGCATCGAAATCAAATGACAATTACTACAAAGACCCAAAAATACTCTAATACTTCCCAAACGGAGCTTTAATTCTTTATCTAATCAGGGACCACATTGTGACCTAATATGGCTCAGCCTAGAGAATCTTTGTTGCACTCTTTTACCCAAGTCCTCATTCTATTTTTGTGATTGGGCAATCTTGTATGGTGGATTTTCCGTAGCTGGAAAATCATGTATCAACTCCATGACTCGCCGAGTTGAGTCAACAACCACGGTTAACCAAGAGGGACACAAATCGGCAAAGGCTCTGTTAGGAATGGCAACAAGGCGGGTTCAAAGCTAGGATTATATTTTCCGACCCTGATCCCTAATGGAATCCTCAAAAATTTTTAGTTAATAGTATTTTTTCAAAAATAAATTTATTTAAAATAAATAAAACTTTTAAAATATAAAGGATATTTAAAATATATTTGATATATAAATAATATTATAAAATCATATAAAACTTTTAATATGTATAATTGGGTTGAGTAGAGGGGAGACCTCATTCCCATCCCCGACCCCGATCTCGGTTGGGGATCCCTATTAATCTCTATCCCTGTCCCCACCCCACCAAAGGAGTCCCCATCCCCAACCCGATAGGGTCAGGGAAGTTAGGTACCAATAGTCGACATAGTATTGTTGAGATAGGTACCATTTTTTCTCAAGTTAATTTTGGTTGTTGGCCCCCAACAGCCTATGTTGTTGAGAGTGTTTTTAGGGGGGATACATTCACCAATTCACACCCATGTCTATGATTTTGGTTAAAAAGAAATATAGAACAATTACTATTTTACCCCCACCCTATGATAATGTGGCATTCTTAAAAATATTCTCAACAACAGAAGTTGTTGGTCCCTAACAGCCAAAGTTTTTCCTTTATTCTCTTGGTATTGCAATGGGGCTTCGGAGCCCATAGAGGTGAGGTGCTATGGGCTAAACATATAGTTAGTGGGTTGATGGGGTGGGCCATTAGGGGATCGGGGAGCATTTAGGACCCACTAATTTAAACAATGTAGATTGCAGAGTAGGGATGCAAACGGATCGGATCGGATTCGAATCTGGTCTAACACTATTTATGTCGGATTCGATCGGATTTGATAGGACTCGATTTAAATTTGAATCTTATTGATAAGTCGGATCTTCGGATCCGATCTTATCCGACTTGTTTTCCTTAAAAGTTAATATATTATTAAAAGAAAAATACAATATACTTATTTAAATATAAATACAATAAAAATAAAAATGCATGTATTTTTTAATTATTTTCATCATATATATACATGTTTTTATAAAAAATAAATAATATAACAAATTTATAAAAATATAATATAAAAGATATATTTATAAATAAATAATATATATGTACTATATATTTATAAACATATAATATACATCAGAGGTGATCCGAATCCGATCCAAAGATCCAAACAAGAATAATCCAAATTCGACCAAATAGGATCGGATTTTTACACCCCTATTGCAAAGAGCCTGCCTTTTCATGGGTTTTGAACCCCGTGCGAGATTGCTTGCAAGGATCAGCTATGACATATAGGGCATTCTTGTAATTTGTTAATTTCAAATTTTACGGCATTAAAGATTAGGATTTCTTTTCATATTTATTTTGGTTTTTCTTCTTTCACCAACGGAGAATGCGACATTCTAAATCAAATTGGGTTCATAAATTGTATGTCAGGTAAGAGTTGATGCAAACCCGTACTAAACCTAGCATATTGAAATCAGAGAGAGAGAGTCTCTTACCTCTTATTCAATACTTAATTCGTTTTTTAAAACATAAAAAATTGCTACATCAACAAATAAAGTCACACATGTTGGCAAATACCCCTAGATTGAGGAATTTAGTAAGCAAACATGATTCCGGATCTTCTGCCCACCTCTACCCACAACACACTATCTTTCCTGAATTGGGAATATTTCTCCCTACATAATACTAAGTAGAGGATGAGATGTTCTACATGTGTGGCTGCGATAAATGTGAGCAAAATTTGTGTGGGCAGGAGATCTCAACTCAGCAAATACAAGTTCATTTCAACCCAAATCGGCTGGCCTCTAACCCAATGGGGTCAAATAAGTGTGGGTTTACCACTTAACCCAACCCACGACATCCCTACCCATAGGAATCAATGACATATTAACATGAATGGTGCCACATTATCTCTTTTATCGTGGGAAACAGCCCTTATTGAGAGGAGATAGGATTTCCTACCCACACAACACTACAACTATGCATTGGGAAGATCCCCCCATGAATGGTAACATGTAATCATGGAAGATGTTCCCAATGTACAGTTGCAGTATCATGTGGGTAGGTGTAAGTAGGATTCTTGTGGATAGGAGATTAGGATTCTGTTCCAAGACTTGAAAAAATAAGTAATCAGGTAAGAACTCCTCTTATTGGAATAGCTAGCGCTAGGCTAAAACCATGAATCATGGCCCTTAATATATTAATGCAGTCAAGGTGGATTCGAGCCAAGCCGAATTGAATACCTAGCTATTCGAGCTCAGTTTGCCAAAACAATGTTAGGCTCGAGCTCAATTCAAGTTAGAGACTTGAGCTTAAATTTAACTCGGCTCAAAAGCTCGCAAGTTTGAGCTCGGCTGTGAGCCAAGCTTTCTATAAAAAAATAAAAATTAAACATATAATTTTGTATTTTGCATACAAAAAATTAAGAATTACAAAAATTATTTATTATTCTACATATAAAAAGTGTTTTATTTTACATACCAAAAACAAGAATTATAAATATTATTTATTACTATACAAAATAAAAATATTATATATTATACATATAAAAAAATATATATTTATTATATATATTAGGTTTGATTAGTCTCACGAGCCAAGATTCATTTGGCTCAAACTTGGCTCAATTAGCAAACGAACCTATATATGAGGCTCGAGCTTAACTCCAAGCTTGGTATAAACTGAACTGAATCAAGCTTTTCATAATTGAGCATGAATAGCTCATGAAAAACTCGATTCATTTCCACCCCTAGATGCGGCCCTACTCCCGTTGAAATAGCTAGTCCTGGGCTAAAACCGTGAATCATGGCCCTTAATATATTGATGTGGCCCCACCTTGAACCAGATAAAGTGAGGTAAACTGGGGCCACAACAACGCATTGAAGTCCATGATTTCACTACTTTAACTTAACCCTATTCCAACGAAAAGTGCTCACACTTGTAGCCTTGCATTGGGAATATCTCCTTCTGAAAGATAATAAAGAAGTATAGAAATATTCCTTATTCACATGTAAAAGGCTGTACCAACGACCTCACAGGGTGCCTCACAACGACCTCACAGGCACATCTCATCGTGCATTAGGAACATCTCTCGTAAATCATAACATGTTAGTGCGAAAAATGTTCCCAATGCAATAAGATGTGCCTATGAGATCGGTGTGAGACGCCACGTGTAAGGAACAGATCCGGTCTCGTAAAACTGAATCCTGATTGGCCGGTAAAGATTCCGCCTCTATAAGTGATGGGATCTGCTCCTCACAAGTGGGCGCCGCACATGCACATCCACCGTGCATTGATAATATTTCCCGTAAATAATAATTAATAAGTACGGGAGATGTTTTAAATGCATAATAATGATAGGATTTGCATGTGAAGCGCCAGGTGTCAAGAGCAGATCCGGTCTTTTAGGATAAACGCTTTTTAATCTTTTGTTCTCGCGACACGCGTCCTATCTGCATTGCTTTTACTTACATCCAGAAACTATATTTTCTGTTTTTATTTATTTTTTTTTTGTTGAAATATATTTTCCGTTCTGTTTACCTAGAAATGCCGTCGTTCCATTTTTCTCCTTTTTTTTTGTTCTTTCACTTTTTCCCTGTCGCATTAATTGAAAATGTGAAACCGTACGGTTTCTGTCCGTGGGGCCGAAGTAGGGATTTGCTACCAACACAACGCTACCAACTACATCTTCCTTGTTATTCATGCCGAGATATACTGGAATGGCAGGTTGGGACAGTGTTAGGTGTATAGCGTTTGTTCTCGGGGCGGAGCCCAGATACACAGGCGGTCAAGATTACAGAACGACGTGGGGCCCTCTCGATCTGTGCACCGTCCTTTTGATCTGCCTACGGTTCCTCCGAGAAATTTGTACCGTTCGATCTTCACATTGGTCAAAGATCAAACGGTTAGAACTCCTAATCTCTGTGTATATAAATGTTGGAAATAGTCATTTGTGGAATTGCAGCAGATCACAGAAAAGGACTAATTAATAAAAACAAAAAGTTCTGAAAACATCGCGCTCGGCTCGACACTCGACTCGAAGATTAAAAACCTAACGACATTGAATTTTTTATTCGGTGGAGTCTTGAATTCATGGCGTCTTGATCAGGTACCTGTACTGCTTTTCTTCCATCTCTTCATGGGAATATCTAGGGTTTTGCGTGGTCTTTGGATTCTTGTTGGTTTGGTGTTTTCTTCTCGGTTCTCCCTTTCGCTGCTTTTCTTCTTTTGGTTATTTCACTGTTCCCGCGCTCTGTATTTAATCCTTTCTTTGTTAGAATCATCTAGGGTTTCTTTTCTTTTTTAATCGTTTGTCCAGACTCGTCGGAAGAGTTTGAAAGTTTGGTCAAAATTCAAAGCCGGGAAAGATTCCCGTAGATCAGAAGCATCAGATGTTTGTAGGCTAATTTGGGAATACTCCTGAGCGTTCGTCCTCACTTAAGAGAATCAGAATGGATTTTCGTGATTCCTTTGTTTTTTATCGCTGTAAATCAATATCTAATTGTTAGGGTTCTCTCTTATCTGTCTCAGCAGTGCTATTCTTGAGACTCGGGAATCATTTGGCTCGTATGAAGTGCGTACTTGGTCGGATTCCTTCTTTAATTGTCCATTCATCTGTCCTTGATATTTTGGCGCCTAGCAGACTATTCGCTTCTTTGTAGTAATTGGTGTTAAGAACGATCTATGGCGGTGATTGTTGGATATCCAGATGCGGAAGAAGGTGCCGGTTTTTCCCTTTTTGTTTTCGCAATCCTTTTTTTTGTTAATGTTTGGTTGCAGAAATATCGAGGTATAATTTGGGAGAATGGTGATCCTCGTGTAGGCGACAAGGGAGGGACATAATTCTTCAATTGAAATAGATCTTCCTGTGTCACATTGGAGCTGCAAGCTTATTGATCAAGAAGAAGAGGTATAATGGCAGGCAGTGAGCAACGTGTTGAGCTTAAGTTCCGAATCTTTGATGGAACGGATATTGGTCATAGTACTTATGCCTCGTCTACTACTGTTGCAGCACTCAAGGATAGACTAGTTTCCCAATGGCCTCAAGGTTAGAACATTTCTGATCCTGCCATTATTTTACTTTGCCTCCTTGAGTTACGCATTAACTGAGATGGCATTTCTACACTCCTTTTTTCCTTAATCAGCCTTATATCCGTTTATTCTCTAATAGCACGCGAGGGCTTTCTTAGAAAATTGTTGTTAACTTTTTTGTAATATCAGTTTGTTAGAATTTACACAATGGACTCGGAAGCCTGTCCGTCTCACTGGATCGGATAGCAATTCAATGACAAAGATGGAAGTCTCTATGGCCTGTCATGAGTGCAAAAAACATGTTCCATTTCATAATAATTGACTCTGTTCCTTCCTCAAGCTATTAGTAATGGTTTTTTCTTTTGAGAAAATCATTTTCTAGTCTGCATATTTTGAACCTGTTTAGGCATTCGAGCCTCGGTTCCTCTTGGTATGCATAGATCTCTTTTATTGCTTCCCCCCTTGAAAGTTGAGACAATAAGGAAGCATATTAACCACGACTCAACAATTCCAAAGGTAAAGTTTTGGGATAAAGAATAGCATATAAACAAGTTATAGGGAGATTGAAGAACTGGAACCAAAAAAGCATAATTATAAAGTGTGTACTATAAAATAGAGTGGAAGAAGATTACTGTGATCATTGTAATATTGTAATGGTCAACATGCGATACCCTTCCTAGTAGTTATGTCAAATTTGGACAATGGCATTTTGTAGATGATCTATTAATTTACCCAAAAGTTGGAGTTAAAACCATTCACAGGCAAAGCGTAGTTCAGGGAGCTGGGAAGTTGGAACTCAATAAACAGTAGCTCTCATAACAAATTATTGGTTAGCAACCAAGTCCCAAATGCTGTGCAGACTGAACCTCTTTGGAAAAACTGAATATTTCAAATCAACCCTTCCATTTTTGTTACCGGCTGATTACATTCTTCTCCATTTCACCATATGTAGAATTTCTTCTTTTCTTATCCTGCTTCAGCTTCGAAAAGGGCAAGGATTAGTAGTTTCCAGTATGGAGGAATATATCATATATTTATATGAAATTTAATATCTCTTAGGCTAAAGGCACTTCAGGAGTTTTAATTTCCACCACATATGGGGGAGTTGGTCCAACCTTTTAATATGTATTCAGTCTTTCTTCATCCTCACAAAATGCAGAACAGACTTCTATTCTCACAAGGGTTATGGATGTCTCCTTGGCCAACTGATGTATGACCCAAATTTTAGACTTCCAGCACTCTTATCAGATGTTCAGTGAAAAGTTATGGATATCATTTTAATAATGACAGCTTGCAGGAAGGCCTTAGGACCCAATTATGCTCCCTCATTTAAAATTTTAAATCATTTTAAAATTTTCTCTGTTTTGAATCATTTTTAATTTTAAGCTTTTGAGGGACACTTTCTGGCAAGACTCATGCATAAAGCTCACATGCCTTTCTTTGACACTGATATGGTCCTTTTGTTGATACATGAAATGGCTTGTCTGAATTGATGGGAAACTACTTACTCATATGCAGTCAACATTTGCTTCCACTTTAGAGAAAACCTATCATTATTGTCTGTACCATTCTCTGTATGCTTTGCATAGTATGGTTGGATTATGCAAAATGTATTTTGGTTTGTGGCTTTGTGCATTATTGATGTTGAATGTTATGCACCAACATGAGGTTGCATTTTCTTTTCCTTCCTTTCTTTGTTCAATGCTTTTACATGTGCATGCATGGGTATGTGATGGGAGTTGAATTAAACCTGTTTTTTTATATTTTCCTGTTATGTTGGAAAAAGAAGACTGGCATTATCGGCCTGAAGCACCTTGTCCAATATAAAATTGATTGTTCAGCATCTTTCATCTTCTCATATTGTGATTTATCTTCTACTATGGTCATGGACGATTGCTCCTAATGTATCTTCTTTAAACTATTCCACTGCCAGACAAAACAGTCATACCCAAGTCAGTAAATGATGTAAAACTCATATGCTCTGGGAAAGTTTTGGAGAATAACAAGACACTTGCCGAGTCCAAAATACCTTTTGGTGATCTTCCTGGTGGAGTTATTACAATGCATGTGGTAGTACAGCCACCTGTTGCAAGGAAGAAGACAGGTACATTGTGTTTGTTTCCCTTATTTAGTTGGTTTTGGAATTTTCAAAATTGAAAATTATGGGTATGTCAAGGATGCAGAAAGATTTATCCCCCAATCCTTCTTATATTTGGTCTTTGACTCCTCAATTGTTTTACAGTCTTTTCCATTCCAAAGATCACTAATTTTGGGATAATGCATAAAAGAAGTAAAAACCTTGACCACATTACCTGACAGAATCAACTTCCTGTTATCCATGGTTCTCAACCTTTGCATGTTTACACCATGCCCCATCAGGAGTAGCTTTTTGTTAGCCTTTTATTTTTATCCTCTCCTCATGTTTGATCTAGAGTTCCATCCATTAATAAAAGAAGGAATTTTCTCACCTAGGAAAATGAGCTATACAATTTGGGGGGAGGAGGAGGAGTTAGCCTTCCGCCAAAACCCAAAACCTCCCAAACCTCGTGAAAGCAGGATATGGTCTCAGGTGGGCCAGGTCTGGCTGGTTTGCACTGCAACCAGCCAGAGACCTTTACCAATTACGAGAGAGCTATTAGGCACCTCTTCAACATAAGAATTAATTTGCGAAGGAAAATCCCAAGCGTCTAGAGGGGAAGTAACCCAATCTATTACCTAGGCAAAATTCCATACAATTCCAGTCTCCTTCCATTTTCTGTTATTATTTAAGTACAGTTGGTACCAAGGGTTAACATTATGGTGTGTTTTTGTGTAAGGTTTTCTTATTCTTTTTCATGATATAAACAGTGGGATTGCGAGTTTATTAGATATGCATCTTGTTACTCAGTTTTCCTTGTTTGATTTGGTTGTGGATAACAGACAAAAACCAGGAGGAAGTGCCAAAGCTGAAAATGTGCTCGTGTACAATCCTTTAATAAGAAGAGTGATCCTCATTTACCAATATTATATTACAGATTTTTAACCACAATTTTGTTCATTTTACATTGAGTTGAGTCGGAACAGATATCCCCCCCCCAATTCTGATTCTTGTCTGTTTTTTCGTTTCTCTCTCTCTCTCTCTCGATGAGTTGAGTAGTAGTGGCGGCTGTTGGTGTGTTCTCCCATCTTGTAATCATTTTTCTTGATACAAAGTGGCACAAAAAATTATATAAATGAGAGAAGTACACCTTGGTTTCATTTCACCATCTCTTTGCTGTGCACTCAAACTGCTGCTTTTTTTTTCCCATTTTTGCGCTAATGGCTCAAACCAGTGCTGAGAGAGAGCGCCGCGCTGTGTTGGATCTGGAGCTGGAGTAGAGACTTACACCCTACAGCATAATTTTTCTGGGGAAGAAGGTATACTCGCAAACAAGCAGGCACGAGTGTAGAAACTTACACATGCCAGGTGTCGCAATCTTGAGGCCTATGCTTTGATTGATTGGTTACTGGTGGTGAAAGTGAAATATGGTGAGATGAGATGACGACTCCCCCCTCCCTGGTCTTGTTGAAAGCCCAGTACTTGGTTTCGGTTGAAAATTGATGATTGACGAGACCAACTATCTTTTCTCCTGACTGTACACTAGAACTAGACCACAAACTCCTTTACCTATCAAATTCTTTGGGCGGTAGCATAAATAAAAGAAAAAAAAAAAAAACATCCTATAGATTCTCCACTTATGATCAACATTGTTTTTTTATTTTTATTTTTTTTTGTCAAAGCGAATGATGAAGATTCTGGAAATAGATGTAGTATAAGTCACTCTCACTCCTAAACCAAAAAATATAATATACAAAAGAGAGAATGATGAAGCCGAAGCAGCTGCGTTCCACCACCACGCCCACGTGTGTGGAAGAGGTAGGACGGACGGCACTGCCTACATTAATTCTCATCCCTCCCTACTCCCAACTAAATGAAATGTTACTTAACTACTTTAAAAAAGCATGAATAGCTTTAATAATATTTTTAGAATTTTTTTAAAAACAAAATTTACCCTTGTACGTTTAAATTTTGATGGCCTCCAACATATTATCACTATTGATGATAACAATGCCTTATTCTCTATTCCTACCCTTAAAGCACCTGGTTCTGATGGCAGTTGCAGTGTTTCAGAAATGTTTGACGACGATGGGTCCAGATTTAGTGAAGCTAGTCCAACAGTGCTTTGAGAACCCAGAATTGATAAAATCATTGAATCAAACTTTTATTTGTTTTATTCTTAAAACATCAGTCCCAGAAGCTGCTTCTGATTTCCGCCCCATCGGGCTCAGTAATGTCTCCTATTATAAGCTTTGCAAAAATTCTTGTTAATAGATTGAAGCCGCTCACTCCTCCAGAAAATTATTGGCCCATATCAACTGGCTAGCAAATAAATGACAGCATTGTCATGGCAAAAGAAATTGTTCATACTTTGAAGAAATAAAAAGGGAAATCTTCTTATTTCCTACTGAAATTAAATCTCTCTAAGGCCTATGATAAGGTGGAATGGCCATTTCTGATGAAGACTCTCATGTCTTTGGGCTTCGTTGAAAGATTCCGTAGAATTGTACATCAATGCTTATCGACTACCAACTTCTCCATTCTGTTAAATGGACAACAAGGGGAACCTTTTCGGCCATCTAGAGGCCTCCGCCAAGGTTGTCCCCTCCCCCCGTATCTATACATCATCTGTACAGAGGTCCTTTCATGCCTTCTCTCTCGACAGTTAAGAGACTTGAAGACTTAGAGGTGTCCCTCTTGGAAGAACTGATTTAACGCTTAACTACTTATTTTTTGATGATGATATGTAGTTATTTGGTAATTGTATCTCTTCTGAAGTCCATTATTCCTTCAAACAATGGACTTCCTCATCTCCTATTTCCTCCTCTTCACGGTATATAAAAAAGCCCACATGCCATGGATTCACTTGTGGAAACACAAAGTTATGCCACCTGCTGTTAAAGATGTTTTTTATGGAGTGCTTTAAATATTCTCCCATCTGTTGACAATCTACACAAACATAGATGTTCTATTGACAGTGTGTACCCTTTATGTTCTACTACTGACCGGACTCTTCTATATACCCTTTTTCTCTGCCCTGCAACGCAAGCTGTCTGGTTCAGCTCACGTTTGCACTTCAAATGTGCAAATGTAATTCTTTGTATACTCACTACACCCAATATTTCACCTAAAGTAGATGATGAAAGTCATGAACAATAGGAGAAAATCAAAAAATGATGAAGTCAATATTTTCTGTGTACTCACTCAATAGTTGTATAACATTTTTTCAAATTATTATAAATTTTGTTTTAATTTTTTTGTTGTTTTTAACAATGTAATTTTGTATTTTCAATTTGTAACTATATTGTATTTTTATATTTTATTAATTTATTCCATTTTCCAAGTTTCATATTTCATTCGTCCAAGTATCCAACCATTGCATGCTATGTAATTTGTATCATTCAAATTTAAATGAAATAGAATTCCTATTTTTCTTCCAATTTGTTATTCCATTCTTATTTGGCTAAGTATTTTTTTCATTTATTTGTTAGATTTCTCATTTTTTTATTTTTTCAAATAGTTCCAAATGAAAGTTAAATATTTTAGTTTTACTTAACAATGAAATTTTAAAAAAATATATCAAACAAAATAAAAACCAATCTGGCCTGGTTCAGCACACGCCCACAGCATGGCCTACAACCCACCCAGCCCAGGCCTGTGGCATGGGCCCACACGGGCTTGAACCGTGAGCTGGGCTGAGCCGACCCCCAAGTTATCCCAAAGAAGGGCAACACGACCCGTTTTACACCTCTATCTGTTTCTCCATATTTTCTCATTCCTATTATTGTAAGCGATTCTTCATCAAGCTAAAGTAATGAAACAACCTATTGGCTTCTTCTCATTTCTCTAGTCTCTAGTTAAAAGCAAAGAACAAAAAATCGAGTTTTACGCCATTTGCCATTTGATTGTCTAGTCTCTCTTCCCAATTTTTTGTCTCAAAAGTGTAATAGTGGATGGATGTGGCCGGTCGGTACTCCCTAATCCTGGTTTTGTGTTTTGTCTTTCTTACCCCATCAATTCCGAGGACTTACCCTTCTTTTACTTCATCAATCACATTACATATGAAATTTCCTCCTTACGTTTTCGTTGTCATCAACAAAAGAATTTGTTGACTTTTTTTACCTCTCCTGTTTGGCAAACTTGTGTGATTTTTTGAAACAACACATCCAGCTTTATACGCGCATCCAAAAGACATCGACAACTAATTATACAAATTGTTCAAAACTAAATTTCATACGTATTTTGATTATTAAAAATATTTCGATACGTCTCTTAAAATTGACTTTTTAAAACATTAATACTTTAAATATTGCGATGTGTTAAATTCTTTTTCATTTATGTTTTAATGATTTATAAATGGCAGTCGTTTTCCTTAATTTAGCACCTCAATTCAATACGCGTACCATCTAATATGTACAAATCTAAATTCAAATGAGAAGAAAGGAAGGAAGAAGGAAAAATTGTGTATTCTAGACCATGATTGACTGACTGACTGCCCCATAATAAGGAGTCTACTGATGTTTTGGGGGGAACTTTTGTGATGCCAGATTGGAATCTATTCAACACCAATAGGCAATCACGGCCACACCCCCCAACCCCAACACCTTCTGACACCAATTCCAACATTGAAAAAGTTAGTCCCCCCACCCCGAGTCGAGATTTTCTGTCAATAAAACACATTCCAACCCTATACCAACTTGATCTAACATCGCATATCTCACCGTGGGACTAAAACCCACCATAAATGTAGGACCTGCCGTATATGAAATATGAGGTATAAGATCACGTTGGTAGAAGGAAGGTTGCAATGTATTTTGTTGGCAGATGATCCCAACCCAACTCCTTTTTGTGACCCCAAATACTTTCATGCTTCAAAAAACACAACTCATGAAATGAGAGTAGCCGACAATAACCAGCTATTTGTCTTTATTTTTCTCTTTTTTTATCTCCTTTTTCATTCCAAAATCTTTTTTTTTTTTTGAGACAAGTCTTTCTACTATGCTTTGAAAACAAGGCAGTCTGTAGAGGCGTTGCCGTACTCTCTGTCCACACACTACACCAAGCAAACGGCGGAGATCCATAGATAAAAACATGCCTGTTTCCTCGGGTTTGGTTCAATTCACCCAATTGCCAGCTTCTGGTTTTGACTTGGGGGTGTAATTAGGGTCGATCCGAATTAAGCCAGGCTTGCAAGTTTTTAAACCAAACTTTTTATCGGTTTGAACAGTCAGTTCGTTCTGACAAAAAATTAAAAAAATTAAAAACGATCAAAACCATTCAAATGGTTAATTGTCGGAGTCAGTGGTTTGCTGACCAAAATCAACGGTTTTGGGCAAATTTCTGATTTTGGGAAAAACTGAAACTGATCACCTGAACGATTTCTGGTTTTTTTGGTCTGACCATCCGATCTGGTCCAGTTTTAAAAACCATGGTGGATAGTACCGATTCCCCACCCACCAAAAAAAAAAAAAAAAGATTGCACCCTTAATTGTGATTGTGAGTGTATATTTTATAAACAAATTAATAATCGATTTGAGACGGTCCACCCAGATCCAAATCCATTCGTATTAACCCCGATCCTATTCTACTTCTGCATTCGGCCGAGGAGCATCAGAATGATGGAATCTCATCTTCCACAGATTTGGGTCCCAGCTCCCACCCAAAGGCTGTTTATTTGCACGAGCGATTCGACCTACATCGGGCCCCACATTCTTTTTCCCCATTGGAGGAGATCGTCGGGGCCCACTTTTTCTTTTCTTTTTTTTTTTAACACCCTCAAAGTTCAAACTACCCCATCATTCATTACAGCCAACGAAATTTAACACGTGTCTCCACATGAAATAATCCCCCCCAATCGGTGGCTCCCACGGCATGGCCGGAAAATCCTGACCCTTGGATTAATACCATCCACCTCACCCCCCGTGTTACTTTCGTTGACCATCATGGTCCTAAAATCAAACGGCTCTGCAGAAGAACGACCCCAGTGTGAAACCATGACCCTAGGTGGGAGTGGGCTCCACCTCTGACTGTGTGTGATTTTGGTGTGAAACCATGACCCTAGTGAGACGCTCCACCTCTCACTTACGCCGTAAATTTTTACTGCATGCAGGGGTAAAACAGTCAGAGCGTTAAAAACAGTGGCATTTTGGTAGATTCCGATAGATTTGTATTTTGTCAAATTCTGTAATTATAAGTACTTGAGCATACTTAATTCATATATTTTTAATTGTTTTTTTTCTATTTTTCTTTCCTCATTTTCAACACTCCTAATAATCTCTCTCTCTCTCTCTCTCCATTTATGTATATATTCTTCTTTACCTTCTCTTGGTTTCTGGGTTGAGTGTCTCGAATTTGTTGATCTGCTTACGATCTTTTCGTTGGTGTTTGGTAACTGGTAAGGCGTTAGTGTCGAAGAGGTTCGGGTGAAGATCGACTGGGAAGAGTAGTGAGGAGGTGGAGCTTAGAATTCGTTGATGGGTTGTGAGGAAATGAAGAGGAGTGGTTGTTAGAGGTCGACCATTTCGTCTTTCCCTCTTAGGTTTGGTTAGTTTGAGATGGGCGGGTGTCTCCCCTGTTTCGGATCGTCTGATAAGGAGAAAAATACTGTCAAGGAAAGTGGGAAGAAGGATTCTGCAAAGGAGGGTTCAACGGCCCCTCAGTCTCACCATGTGAGCAGAGTCAGTTCTGGTAAGTCTCTCTCTCTCTTTCTCTTTCTTTCTTTCTTTCTTTTAGTGTTACAATTGGGTTTTTTTTCAGTAGAAGTTTTGATATTCGATATCTTGAATATGGGTTGCTGTTGAAATTTGTGATTATTTTCGATCCGATTGCATATGAATTTCTTTTCACTTGACTCTGGAGGTTTTCCCAGTTGAAGTTTTGGTGTCTCTTACTGTTGATGTCTAGCGATGCATTTCTAATTTGCTAGATAATCTTGTGTTATTGACGGTTCTATTTTCGTTCTGTTGATAACATTTTGGTTTCAAGAACTTCTTCGGGGATCTGTGCATATCTTTAGAATTCGCATAATCCTTCCTTCTTGAATTGCAATATTGTTTGTTCCTCCCATTATATGGTAAACACAGCTGTGAAGAAAATGCTGATGAGCTAGTAAGCTTGAAACTTGAATGAGGTGCTCTCACATTTTATTTGATCGGTAAGATATGGGTAGTGGGTTAAAAATTAATCTATAGGTGTAAAGATAATTTAGGGAATCGTTAATTTTAGTTTGATTACTGCCAATACAATAACATATCATGCTCTAAAAATCTAAAGACGTTCCTATAGTTTCACATGATTGAAATTGTAAACCAAAAGTTAGAGATCTTCATTGTAATGGATTTTACTTTTAGGGTGGTTGAGAATGGAGTCACAAATGCTAAAATGTGGAGGACATATCAGCTAATTTGTATGGATTTTACTTCACATGCACCATTTCCTAGTTGCGATATTTTCTTTTCATTACTTATCCCATTTTTCTCTTCCATTTGGTTCTTTTGTTTTTTTTTCATCCCTTACTTAGCATCTTGTTTACTTGTTGATTCAGATAAATCAAAATCTCGGAATGGTTCTGATTCTAGGAAGGAAACTCCAGCTGCAAAAGATGGGCAGGCCACACATATTGCTGCACAGACATTTACATTTCGAGAGCTTGCTGCTGCCACTAAGAACTTTAGGCAAGAATGCCTCTTGGGTGAAGGAGGATTTGGGCGAGTGTACAAGGGTCGTTTGGAGAGCACTGGACAGGTTGGTCATTTAAGTTTTTAAGGTCCATTTAATATATAGTGGAATCGAGAGAACTCTGGGATTAAATGCTGCACTTGCTGATGCCGTACAACTTACATTTTTATCATCATACTGTAGAAATTTACCTACTGTTTCATGTTTTACTGATTATACAGAAAACCTATGTTAATTTTCTTACCCATTAAAATGCTGTTCTGCATCATCCATCTGATCTACTAGGATGAAACTTTATTGTTGGGGAATTTAAGAATGGTTCTTGATGTGAATTAATTAATTTTGCAGGTAGTTGCTGTGAAGCAGCTTGACAGGAATGGCCTTCAAGGAAATAGAGAATTCTTGGTGGAAGTTCTCATGCTCAGCCTCTTACACCATCCCAACCTTGTCAACTTGATTGGTTACTGTGCTGATGGGGATCAACGCCTCCTTGTTTATGAGTACATGCCATTGGGATCTTTGGAGGACCACTTACATGGTTAGGCTTCATAACCATCTATGCAGTAGTTTAAATCTATGTTATAACATAGTGGTAGCTTTGTGCATGCACAGGCTAATTCTTATATCGTTTTTGTCAAAGGATCATGAAAATTCAAAAGTTTGACATATTCAATAGTTCTATCTTTATCCTGAAAGGGGATCTTATCTAATCTTAAGAAGATGTCCTTTTGGAATATATTTTTGGATGTTCAAACAAGAATCCGAATAATTTGGTCAAGTATATATGTATTAATTCTTGCCTATTATACTCAACCATAGTTATTTATGAATAGGACTCGTTATACAAAGTAGGCATTTTTTTAGTGAATGGTGTGCTAGACTGCCAGTGGTATTATATCACAAAACAGGAGAAAAAAACAATAAATGGACCCAAATGTCTGATTTCATAAGGCTTTCTATGGTCCTCATGGTATTATGTACGAAATAATACATCTAGTACAAAATATCTAGAAAATGTTGCTTTGTCCATCATCATCATCATCACCTAAGCCTTTTCCCAACTATATAGGGTACACAACATGAATCCTATTCTGCCACTGTTCTAGTCAGTACCATTACCATATCCATTGGACCTTTAAATCACTTCTCACTACTTCAACCCATTTCCTTTTCAGTTTGCCCCTAGATTTTCTAGCCCCTTCAATTTGTAACAGATCTTTTTTTTTTCTTATTGGTTCTGTATATGACCTCGGCACATGAAAAATCCATCTTAGTCTACATTCCCTCATTTTATATCTTTTTGGAGCTACTCCTAGGTTCCTTTGAACAAGTTCATTTATGATCCTATCCTTTCTAGTTATTCCATTCATCCATCTTAACATTGTCATTTCTGCCACATTCTTTTTTTTGAAGTTACAAAAAATGTCGAATCAAAAGATCCACAAAATCCAAAAGAACAGAGGCTCAGAAAAGATGAAGCAGTGTATCTTTCCTACTACTCTTTTCTCTAGATGGCCTTTTTAATCAATAATTCTGGAATTTTGCTTCTTTCATTGTCTAACATGCTGGAAACAGAGTTAAGTGCCATAGGATTCTCCCCACTTGGAAAAGCCTTTCACCAGCCAAACACCATGAAGCAACTTTATATTCTCCTAGATTATCCGTTCCCAGGATTGCCTGTTTCGCATACGATTTAAGAATATGCAACAAATTCAGCATATTTGAAACTTTATAAAAAAAAGGTATTCTGCATGACCAACATTAATTATAATTGGGGTATTTGAGGGGCTTTAATAGCAAGCAATAAGACTCTATTGGATGCAAAAACATTAGTGGATAATGAAATAAAGGTTGGAAGTTGGACATGCTCCTGAAATTCTGGATCAAATCTATAAAGCAGTCAAGAAAATGGATCTTCAGAGAGTGGTTGATAAAGACTGGAAAACAGGGACCGCTTCTTCAAGTGGAGGGGAGCATGTTAGAAAAATGTTCATGGAACTTGAGAAGAGGGAGAAAATAAATAAATCTTCATCTGTTGCCCCTCTATTTGCACAATATCATTTTCAAAATTTTGGGGATTTTGAAATTGGAATCAGTGGTAAGATTTCTTACTGTAACATGATTGGCAGTGTCAAAAAAAAATCATATGATGAATACTAATATATGGGAGAATTTGAAATTTCTGCCTAGCTATTTCAAATAGCTTCTAATCTATGTTAATTTTGTTTAGCTAGTTACTTGATCTTCTACATGTTTCTGAGTACCAGGAGAGCAGTTTGTTCTAGATCATTTCCTTGTTTGTTTTTTTTGTTTTTTTGAAATATTTGGAAGTCTTTGAAATGCCATTCATTCCCATGTTTATGGTCCACTTGCATAATCTCATTCAAAATTTAGAGGTTTGTAACTTGGAATTAGTGATGAGAGCTCTTGCTGTAGCATGGTTAACGTACAAATAAGCAACACGAATTACCAATTTATGTGAGAATTTGAAATTTCTGCTTTCTATTTCAAAAAGATTTTATCTATGTTAAGTTTATTAGCAGCTCATTACTTGTTTTTTAAAGCATGCCAAATATATGGTGTTGCAGTAGAAGGATGGGAGAACTGTGCAGCCGCTAAACATGAGCTTCAGAGCTAAAGACATAGCAATGCTTATTGAACTAGTAGAATACTTTTATGGTATTTCTTCACTTTTCAATGAACTTGATTTGGTAGCCATTTCTAAGCACTCAGAGCAGTTTGAACATTTATGCTTTTTAAAAAGATGCTCACAAGACCAGTTTGATGCCTTTAAGAGAATTAGGGCATAGGGTACTTGGGAAGATAATAATCCCCAGAGGTTAAACATCTCAAAGTGATGAATAGGGAATTAGAGCATTGCACCATTCTGATAGCTATCCTTTAGATCCATCACCAAAGTTACTGTCAAGAATCAACTCTGCGTCTCTGCCTCCAACATCATTGACTTGACCAGCTACTCCAAACAGAACAACAAAAAGGATTCATGAAAATGATGCAGAAACATGGGTCAAAGGTCTTTTAAATAATGTGCCCAATAACCATCATCTAAGTAATATAGGGATGCAGTTCCAAAACTGTTGTGCTATGTGCAAATCTTCAGAAGAGTTGATAAAATACTAATTTATTTTGTCTACCACCTCCTCTTTTTTTTTCTTTATCCTTATTCCAGATCTTTTGCTCTTGCCCCCCGTTGATGAGAAAAGTGATGCTACCTTATCCCATGGTGTCAATAGGTGGTAGGGGTTTTTTTTATTTTATCCATAATCCCTTACACTATTTGCTAGATATTCCGAGAGAAATAACGACAGTATATGTGGTTAAACCTGTTCATGGGCAGCTTGTTGGGCTCAGATTTATGGTGCTTCAGGCCAGCCCATTCAATTTTGGCAAAGCCTGAACCCAAGCCCAGCCTATGAACAGGTCTATATGTATTAGTCAAGAAATGCTTTTGATGTGTCTTTGAATGGACAATAATGGTTTTTTTGCTAGAATGATCCTTAGTTCTAAAGGACTTCAAAGATTGTACGGGTAGAGATTCTGTCTATAATTGGCCCAATCTTTAGGGTGCAGAGGGTCGTATACTATGAAGTGTAAATTGACTTTAGCCTTTTGTTGTATAACTCATCATTTTTATGTAGACATTAATAAAATTTTCTAATTCCACACATAACAAAAGAAGACAAATAGAAGGACTTTGTTGATGCAAAGACTGGCATAGCAAGTAGTATAGAATGGGCATGAAAACATCAAAAAGGAGTCCCTCTAGCTAACCCATTAGCCCCTTCATTAAAACAAAATAGTATAATGGGAAGGAGACACCTTTTTCATTTTATCCCCATTGAAATCTGACCTAACCCTTCAGTAATCTCATTATAATCTTTAGTAATCTGTCTAAAACCAGGACCACAAGATATCAGATGCAGTGACATCTTGATGGCATGAAAGACTATTTGCAATTATTCCTCCCAAACCTATCAAATAGCATTCTCATAATTGCCTTTAATCAAGAGAAATCGGAAGTCGTGACAGTATTCATATGAATCAGCTCTCCCTAGTTGACCCGCTCAAAGCCAGATTATGTTTTCAGCTTTATCTTTTGTGGCCCCTCCAATCCCTAAAGGAGTTAAGGAGCTAAGTTACCAAATTAGCCTCCATTAAACCATATAAAGTAATCCTATCTCATGATGCTATATGAAACTCTTTTTTAGGGGGATCTGTTATTAAACCAATACATTTTTGAAGATCCTTCTGTTTCCCACCTTAATTTCCTCTCTGTGTCACTCCTCCATTTGCCCAGTGCCAATCCAAACTCAGATGATTAGAATTTCCAGAGGTCGTATCATCGTAGAGACATAGACAAATGGAGGAAAAAAAAGATCATTACTGGATTCTCCACTTGTTGAAATTTCCTATCAATAACATTAATGGCCTTTCAAACAAGCCAATTTTCAAGTTTATTATTAGTGTTTCCCTATGGTTCTACACCCATATGACAGTAGCATATTTGACAACATTTAACTCCTATGAAGGAGTTGGTAATCACATGATCTGTACTGGTTCTCAATGTGCCGCTTCTTGAAACAAGTGAACCAGAGTGAAAGACCATGAGGACACAATCTGAGGAGTCCACATAGGTTGTGTTTGGTTGCATATAAAAGGAGCGACAATGTTAATGGAACTGTAGAAACAGCGAAACTCCTTTAACATCATTCCTCTTTGGGTATATTCAACCAAAAGATAAAATAAAGGAACATAAACATGATTGAACCATCTATGTCAGTTACAATTTCTACTATTGGATTAATTAAAAGTTTATGTTCTCCAAATATCTTTAGGGTTAAAAACCTTTATGAATTATACTTCCCTGCTCTATTTATTGGTGCCAGAGGTAAGCCAAATGTAATTGGTCAACTAGATTATCTTGTTCAAGATGATTCAACTCTGATATTTTCTTGTGGCAGTATATTATGGCGCAAGTGCCACTGAATCAACATCACTGTTGGACTTGGTTGGCTCTTTGCATTTATAAGTTATCTCTCTTAAATAAAATTCTAAAGTTCACTTGTTACATTTTCTAAAAGTTCCAAGGAGGTGAGTGTAGCAATTGAAAATCAACTAAAATGAGATTCTCCTGTTTCCAGATCTTCCCCCAGACAAGGAACCTCTGGACTGGAATACAAGGATGAAAATTGCAGCCGGGGCAGCTAAGGGCTTGGAGTACTTGCATGATAAAGCAAATCCACCTGTCATTTACAGGGACTTTAAGTCATCAAACATCCTGCTTGATGAGGGGTACCACCCAAAGTTGTCAGACTTTGGGCTTGCAAAATTGGGTCCTGTGGGTGACAAGACTCATGTCTCCACACGAGTGATGGGAACATATGGCTATTGTGCTCCTGAGTATGCTATGACTGGCCAACTCACTCTGAAGTCTGATGTCTACAGCTTTGGTGTTGTCTTCCTTGAGCTTATCACAGGCAGGAAGGCTATTGACAACACCCGGGCACCCGGAGAGCATAATCTTGTTGCATGGGTAATGTTTCTCTCTGTTTTTTCTTTTCCCTTATTTCTATACTGCCGAATTTTGTTGTTTGGAATATGCCCTGGTTACGTATCCAAAAACAATATTCTTTTGCCATTTTCTCCAGGCAAGACCGCTATTCAAGGATCGCAGGAAGTTCCCCAAGATGGCTGATCCACTATTGCAAGGACGTTATCCCATGAGAGGACTTTACCAGGCCCTTGCTGTTGCTGCCATGTGTTTGCAAGAGCAAGCTGCCACAAGGCCTCTCATAGGAGATGTTGTGACTGCACTTTCATACTTGGCTTCCCAAACATATGACCCAAATGCAGCCATTGCACAGAGCAACAGGATTGGTTCATCTGCTACAAGGGACAGAGACGAAAGAAGGAACCTCAGTGGTGGGCCCGAGAGCCAAGATGAGGTTGGACGTATCGGCAGACATGGTTCTCAATCTCCACACCAGAATTCACCTGATTTCAGACAGAGAGACCCTGGCAGAGGAATGAGCTTCGGTGCAGATGTTGGCAGGGGGGAAACCAGCGGCGGATCTGGGCGCAAGTGGGGCTTGGATGAATTAGAAAAGCAGGAATCTCAAAGAGACAGCCCTGGCCATGCCACTAGAGCAAGAGAAACGCCAAGGAATTACAACCGTGATTTTGATAGAGAACGTGCAGTTGCAGAGGCAAAAGTATGGGGTGAGAATTGGAGGGAGAGAAAGCGGGCAAATGCCATGGGTAGCTTTGATGGAACAAACGAGAAACCTTGAGGTAACCTCATTGTCATGCATAAATAATAATTTCTCTTTTGCTATCATTCATTAGTTTAAGATCTCATAAGGTATAAGAGAAGTATCAAAGTCCATTATGTATTCCTTCTTGCATTTTTTTCATCTCATAGTTCTCACACGTTTATCTAAATTTGACTCGTGGCTTCCACATATCATTTCTATGCAGTTACAGTTAAAAGAGTAGAGTTGAAGAGGAATTGATTCGGAACATCGGTAAATCCGAAGGACAAACATTCAGTGTGGAAGCTTCACATGGAAGCCCTTCTAAAGCACAAGGTACTGAAGGAAGATTGTAGAAGGAGGAGGATATCTTAATCCCTGATTCTCTGTATGTACTTTCGGTGTTAGTGGTGGGTAAATATTGAATGGTGGGGGGGAAGAGTGGATTACAGATTTGTTTGATTGTTATGGCCTTATGGGTGTCCCATTTTTCCATCTCTCTATCTATGGATTTCAGTCCGTCAATTTTTTGGGGTTATACGAAAAGTTTGGGCATCATTGTTATTGCCATAAGTGGGGGAACGGCTTTGATGTTAGGAATGTGAATTTACATTGCACCTCCGCTTGCACAGTTGCACTGAGAGATGTCTAGTCTAGGTTGTGTACAGTTTTTTGTATCGAGATGAGATTTTGTTTGTATGGTCGGTCATGACATAAATAGTGCTTGTCAATTATGGGAAGTTCTTGAACTCTTATGTACCCTTATCATATATGCCATTTGTCACTATGGGACCATGGCAATGCCGATGGTTGAATTAACCTTACTACCCTAATTGACCTCATTGAAATGAGAGGTTTATCGCATCATGTATGTAAGATATAAGATATTAAAAAAAAAAAAATGCACATTTTGGCGTTGCGTTTATAGATTAAGTGTAAAAATGGTTACCAAACACAACCTAATTACCCATGTAGCGCAGTTGAAGAAAACATTTCTCGGTCTCTTGTATTTCTTATAAATGTTCCCATTACACGGCGGGGATGTGCTGTGGGACATTGGGGCGATTCCTTGTGGGAAGATGTGATCTCGTTTATATCGTGTAATGCATGCCTTTTACCCGATCGAGTTCACATCCGCACCACCACAACAATGTCCCATAGCACATCACACCTTTCATTGGGAACATTACCCAATGACAAGTACTACTACATCACTGATCACTGGGCAGTGGGGATATTTGTGGGGCGTCCCAGATGTGAACTCGCCTCAGTGGCCGGCCAATAACCACGTGTTTTCCCTTTATAAATGGTCAGCACTACAGAAGAAGCATTACTTGATCCTACTTTGACAAGGTGTATGCAACAAAATAAAATAATAAAAAGAAAAAATTGGATAGATTAAATTAGTCTAGCTTGTGTTACGTAGGCTCACGTAAAAAAGTGGATGGATCATTTCATTTCAGTATTTGTACATACATTGCCTTCCTAAATGTTTACCCTTTTTACCAAGGGAACTGTCCTTCCACCTATCCAAAAATAAAGCCACAGCCAGGCTGGATTCTTGTATGTGAACCTGATATCGCTAGTTGGGGCAGAATCCTACTTGATGCATATGTTCGATTTAGTAAAATATATGGTTATAACAATCTGAACTTTGCCTCCCATAAATATCATTTCCTCCTCCTCCCCTGCAACCACGGGAACATCAATCCAAAAGCTTCAGTAACACATCTCAGAGAATACCAATGATAAAAATCATGGGCCATGTGGGCTACTAGGGCTGCAAACCGATTTAATTGAATCAGATATAGGTAGGTCCAAATTTGATTCGTTTTATATCGGATTATGTTTATCTGTAAAATAAACTAAAAATGGCTTTGATATTGTATCTCATGAAAAAATGAACTGAAAATTACTTGTATGGAACTTGAAGTTATGACAATTTAGTAAGAACTATAGAGATAGCATTCAAAATAGATACAATATAATTTAAGTATATAGGAGTATATATTTTTAAATTAAATCAAATCAGATTCTATCGGATTAGATAGGGGTGGATCCATATTCGATCCAATTATAGAGGGACTAAATTTGGATCACCCTTAATGGGATCAATTTTGAATTCAAGTTTGGACAATTGGATAGCAGCCCGACATGTGACCCATGTCCATCACTTAACTGGTGAACAAAACTAAGCACCTTACAACCGTGTCTTTCTACACAACCCCATGTTTACTTTTCCCTTTTATGATGGCATTAGTGATGCTCTTTTAAAGAATCCTGAATAAAGAACGAAAAAGTTGGAAAGTATAGCTTACTGAGCCTAGGTAGTCATCCATCACCGACTGTTTCCTTTTCTTTAAAGTTGATATTGGACTCTCTGTTGCCGTTCTAGCCATGGCCCGCTTTGATGGTGTCATGCTCTGAGTGGGGAGAATACATAGGAAAAGAAAAGGACATGTAGTTAGATACACCACCATACCATTGTTGAAAAGAGGGGGGGATACAAACTTGGATCAGAACCCAGCAAAAAAAATACCAACCTTGGCAAGCTTTTTGTCTTTCCTAGCTTGTCTCTCTCTCTCATCAAATTCTTGATTTTCCCTCTCTACCAACCGAATAAGGGTATCACAGCGCCTTGCAAGTTCTTGAGTGGTGCGAGATTTTACAAACCAATCAAAACGGAATAGGGGTGAGGTGCGGAAAGCTGCCTTCAGCTCATCCCAGTTCCCATACCCAAGCTTGTGAACCATGCATAACTGAAACCACCCAGTGCACACAATATAGTTCATAAAAAACAGGGAAATTTCAAAAGAAAATAGAAATAAAACAGGGGAATTATAAGAAACCTCACCATGAATCGATCGCATTCTTCATTATACAGCTTTCCCTTGTTCTGACCATATTGAATCTTCAGTTCCAACCATGGATTTTTGTACCGGTCTAGCTTCTTCCCAATTGCCTTCATTATCTCATCCTTTCGAGAGATTCTTGCCTCCCCTCTTTCAATGTTCTTAATAATCCTGTCATAATCTGTATACAAAAAGTAAATAGTGAGAAAAAACAATTAAATGAACAGGGTATGTCTAAGTCGCCCATTAAGTCTAGTTCACATTATTAAATGCATCTTGCTAAAAGAACCTGATATAATTGTGGATAAGAATTAAAATTTTTAAAAACAGAAAAAAAAGGTTGTGTTTGGTTTAATAAACACTGATTTCATGGCTCAAATTGTAATCAATATAACTCAAAGTGAGATACAGGATATGTGAAAATTACTGTAGAAAACCTCCTAATATCATTATGTGCTATATTATATTCTCACATCCAACAGCTGACATTGCAGGTGTAACATATCCATGTGGCACCATCGCCTGAAAATGCGTAAAGAGAAACAATACAATTACCATTTAATTCCTTGTATCTTTCTTTGAAGACTTTGGCATATCTTTCAACTTCCTCTTCCGACTTTCCCTCCATTTCAGAAGCAATACTTTTTATATCATTCCGACCATACTTCTCACAAGCTCGGATGAAAGTATTGAAATCCCTCCTAGTCCATGTTGAAAATCCCTAAAGCTCACCAAGAATCAAGTTTAGGAAAAAAAGTAAAGTTTATTTTCTTCAGAAAGAAAAGAAAATATCAAGAGAACCAATTATAACAGTAATAATAGACTTACCTCTTCTAACAGCTGCTCTTTCTCTTCTTGTTCTTCGGCAGTCAATGGATCCCCTAAATCTAAACAGGAATAATTGGCCAAAAGTAAGTCCAATAGGGATATTTGAATATACCACTGAAAGGGAAAAAACCAGAATCTTGAATATCAAAAATAAAACAAAATCTAAAAAACGAGAGAGAACCTTCAGTTTCATCCCCTTCTCCAATAGTGTCTTTCATCTGATTCTTTTGATGCATTTGCTGAAAAACATATGGTAATATAGATTAAGTAAATCCTAAACCCATGAGCAAGCCACGGATCAGAACAGAAAGAAAAACATTTAAAATGTCACTGACCATGAGGTAGCGCACTTCCTTTTCATAAAGCTCACTTAGCCTTTGTGTGTTGAAAAACTGGAAGTCATGCCTGAGAACAAAAAGGCACCATTATCCAAGTTCAATCTAATTATGCAAAAATAAGTTACAAAACCAAATCTAATCCAAAATCAGCCACGATCTAAGGGCTCTTGGAGCATATTCAAATCCTATCATATTTTCAGATTTAAACCAAGTCCCTTTAACTACCTTTAAAATAAAGAAACGCTAAGAATTATTTAAAAAATAATTTACAAGAAATTTATATAAACATGAAATAATGAATTTTTAATTAAGAACGTTGTGTATATACATAATTATATAAAACTTAATCAGATTTGGATCTTAATCGGATCAAATGGGCGATCCATGAGTGATCCAATTATTTAACAGATATAACTTTAAGCCCAAATCCAAACCATTGACAGCCCTCTACCTACAGAAATTCACATCAAAAGATAACTTACAGCTGAGGCATACGAGGAATCCGTGGTTCTCTTGGTTTTGCTGGCCCACCCTGGCGCATTGCTTGCTTGAAGTATTCAGACTCCGAGTAACTAAAAGAGAAGCATGGCAAAATTATCAAGTTACAAGAAAACCATTTGCAACACCCCCCAACATGGGAAAAAAATCTTACTTGCGCTTCCGCTCTCGCTTAGGTGGCTCAATCCAGTTTTCGCTGACAAGCTTCTTGAAATCAAGCTTGTTCTCGTCCTTCAACAAAGTTGAATAATGAATAATTCAACACAAGTAATATAGTAAAATGTCTAAAAACATTATGTCCAATTATTAAACTTAGCTGCTTCATAGTGATTGGAAGTATGGTGTGGCATTCAAAGAATTTATCCTACCTTGTCGTCATCGAAGTCATACAACTCAGCAGCTGCAAAAAAGAAAAAAAAAAGATGGATGATTAGGTAAATGCATATAATTATGTTACTTTATCATGTAAGAGAAAAAAGAGAGCATTCAGGTGAAAAACTCATTTATGCATCAACTTACTGTCATCCATTTTAAATTTGATAGCATCTTCTGTGAATTTCTTCATCTTGGCATCAAGCTCTGCTGTTGCCTCTTCACCTTTAGCTATGATTCGGTCAATATCCTCATCTGTAATCGTGCTATCTTTGGAACTGAACACCATTTCAGCACCAAATCTCACCATTTGCAATAGTTCATCCTTATTAACAGCTGCACCAATGAATCCATAAAAGAATCAAGATTCAAGAACAGGTTATTTCAGACTTCTAAAAACAAGTCACTAATAAACCAACATGGAAGCTTATAAAGTAGATTATCCTTTACTTTTCTGCTCCGCCAATCGCCCTTGTTGTATCACCAAAGCATCCAATGCAAGCTTTTTATAAGCCCTTTCAATCACTTTCTCCTCTATGGTGTACTGAATCATCATAAATCATGAATGAGGAAAAAAAGGAAACATTAATGGCATTTCAAACGATAGAAATGGCTTTCAGGTAGGCCTTGAAATAAATTAAAAACAAAACAAACAAACCTCTGTGCAGAAGCGAAACACTTGAACCTCTTTCTTTTGACCAATCCTATGAGCACGGTCTTGTGCTTGCAAATCCACTTGTGGGTTCCTGGGTTAAATAGGTTATCCTCGCAGATTTACTACCATTGATTAAACAACAAACAATAAACTACACCAAACAAGAGTGACTTACCAGTCACTGTCATATAAAATGACAACGTCTGCAGTGGCAAGATTAATACCAAGGCCACCTGCTCTGGTTGATAGTAAGAAGATGAACTTCTCGCTTCCCGGCTGGTTGAAGGCCTCAATGGAAGCATCACGATCTTCCCCACCAGTATTCCCATCAATCCGACAGTACTGGTACCCTCGGAACATTAAATAGTCTTCCAAAATGTCCAGCAACCTTGTCATCTAAACAAAAACAAAAGCATCCATCCACAAAAATACAATCAATAAAGGCAGATTCTCAACACTTGGAAGGAAAGAGAGAAATTTGGGGTTACAGTAGATGCACAAGTAGCATAGATGAACTGGAATCATCAATTCATTATGCACTCTAAGAAAATTAGTCAAAACCACGCATCTCCATAAATGACAGACCTGTGAAAATATCAGGACCCTAGAGTCACGCTCTTTTAGTTTTGGGAGCAACTTATCCAAAAGAACCATTTTACCTACAAGAAGATGGGAAGTGATATTTACAATTGGCTGACTAATTTGTACCAAATAACTTTAGAAAAAAAAAATCCATAAGATATCTCCTTCCCACCTGCATTTGTGATAAGATGCTCTCCCGTGGTATAAGGAGGTCCAGGTTCTGCACCTTGGAAAAGGTATGGATGATTACAACATTTACGCAATTGCATTGCTATATTCAGAAGACGCTTACGCTCTCCACCAGCATTAATAACCTCTAGATCTTTCTGCAATAAAGCACGATAATACTGCTTCTGCATTTGGGACATCCCTACTTTAAGTATTGTTTCCTTTTTGGGGGGCAAGCCTTTTTCAACATCCGACTTCAACCTTCGTAGGAGAAATGGACGAAGGACCTTCAAAGGTGCAAAAGAACACAACAATCACTCCAGTAAAGGTAAATAAAAAAAAGGTGTTCAAAGATTACAGGTAAAAGCTTTACCTTGTGAAGCTGTTGAACAACCTCCTGCTGGTCATTATCACCAGATATTTGAAACCACTCATCAAAGGTTTCAGAAGAACTAAATATCTCCGGCAGCAGAAAGTTGAGAAGAGACCAAAGTTCATGGAGATTGTTCTGCATATAAGCAAAAATTATATCAATATTACTACTACTGTCCAGGAACTTTAGCAGAAGATGCCTAAAAATCTACAAGTTTCATACAGGGAAAAAAGAAACAGAAAACTACTCAAACTGATGATAAGGATCTAAAATCAGTGACAGACCATCAAGATAGAGGGGGAAGAGAGAGAGAGAGAGAGAGAAAGAGAGAGAGAATTGAGTTCATTTAACATACATATGTAGTTAGGCACATACATGACCAAATCAACCAGGTAGAAATTGAGATCATCTTACTTTCTTTTTTGATTGTTTCTTTGTTTAAACTCAGCTCTCTTTATGGAGAAGGCAATATAGTGGTTGCCAAATACAGCATTGGGAAGACGCATCAACATGCATGGAAGTTAAAAATAACCGGAAGACCATCCAATAGTAAGAAACCCAACTCCTTTAAATGCTTGTGTTTTACATAAACCATTAAGGAGAAAAACCTTTTGTAAAATCCTGCTTTAAATTATTAACTTACAAAAAGTCAGGTACATGGATCAGAATATTCAATTATATTGTGCTCACCTCAAATGCAGAAGATACTACAAAAGAGAAACTACCCTCCATGACAAGCACATGCTAGAGTCACATAGACAAGACAATTATAGATAGCTACCTGAAGAGGTGTCCCCGTGATAAGAAGACGGTAATTGGTGTTATAGAGTCTCATTGTTTTCGAAAGAAGCGAATTCTCGTTCTTGATTCGATGAGCCTCATCAATAATGACATAGCGCCAGCTAAAGCGTCTCAAGGCACTTTTTTCTTTGATGGCCATCTCAAAACTAGTCACACAGATGTCAAACTTACCAGCAATCAATAATTTCTCACGTATATGCCTCTGCAGAATAAAAAACCAGAGCAAGTCATTAACATTATGGATTCTAAAAGTACAGCAAGCAAAGGAATACATCACAAATCTGAGATTGGTTAAGATACTCTTTCATCTGGATTTCCCAGAAATTTTATTGCACGCAGAACTGGACAAAACCGCCGGATCTCCTTCATCCAGTTTCCAAGAGTAGATTTTGGTGCAACAACCATATGAGGTCCAGTGATTCCTCTGAACTCATGCAAATAACCTAGTAGGGAGATCGTTTGCAATGTTTTGCCAAGACCCTGGGTGGAATTTACCCCAAGTTATCATTCACATGAACTGGTTGGAAAGAAAACATTTCATAGTATCACATTGAAAAGGATATATCATAAAAACATATACAACATACAATTTTGCACATACAGACTGAAGAAGTCAATTCTAATTAGAAATCTTGATCAACATATCAACTAATAAATAAATAGTCAAAACTTGGCCTTACTGCCAATAATTAACATGACAGAAGATAGAGAAACCTAAAATTAAATGTTAAACTATATCTGCATACCATCTCATCAGCAAGAATTCCATTTATGCCATTCTCATAAAGACGTATCAGCCAGTTTAACCCAGCTAGCTGGTAATCCCGCATCTTCCCTTGAATGCCTGCACAGAGAAGCAGATTAAACATAAAACAACTAACAATTAAAAGGTGGGAGTCAGAGATGGGGCATTCAGCTTATGAAATCTCAATAATGGGGAAAAATCCTCCATTTCACATTTTAAAAGCCACCATTTTCCAGAGTAAAGGGCCCAAAGGCCCTGTTTATCCATTGCTTTCCCCAACATCATCCAATCTAATCATTAAATGGCTGTGGGTTAATCTCAAAGGGGTATCGACGAATGATCTAATGAGAGGTTGACAAATTGTCGTGGATGTGTTAAAAAGAAGGAAGCAAAGAACAGAGATATGAGACAGTGCAAAACTGAGTTTTTCGGGCCTGCATAGTATCAGAAACTCTTTAAGATCTAAACCAATGGAATTCATGCAAGGTTTAAAGATAGTAGCCACAAACAAGTGGAGAAATTTAGTCAAGTTTTTGTTTCATGGTTGTGTACAGAAAACGTTGTGCCATGGAAATTCAGTCCTACAGTAAAGAAAGCCCAGTCTTCATGAAGAAATCTTAGTTGCTCGTTCAAATGTATCCCAAGGTGTGCTAATAAACTTCTTAATGCTCTAGCTAAGTAGAGGATATTCAAGAGATAGTTTAGCCTGGGGTTTGTCCAGGATCTGAGAATGCAATATAAAGTTTTCGCCAAAATGCATTAACAAATGAGAGGTCAGCTTTCAGCTCTGTTGTATTGCCTTGCTGGCCTTTTCACAGTCAGCATGGTTTCTTTGAAAGGGAATGAAATTCATTCTGTTAACTAACTATAAAAAAATATCCATGGGTTAACCTATTGTTTCATCTTGAAACCAAGGAATTTTCATGGCATTGCAGAGTGGTGAATGCCAAAAGTTTTCTTTCACTGAAAGAAAAGTCAACTTCTTAGACATTGCAAGATGCCAACCAGCTGGTTGGTATGGTCTCCTGCTGGTAGTGGAGACTTGGGATCACTTGGGATCGAATCCCACCTGCACCTGGGTTGGGGGGGTGTTATGGGATGGGGGATGGGCTACCCCCTGTTGTGTAGCCCTTCAGAACTCGGAAGATATCAAAAAATTACTTCTTAGACATTACAAAACCCAAAAGATCCTTCTCCCCCTTTTACATATTGGCACTACTTTTGTTTCTAATCTATGTTAACACATACAATGAGGACAAGCAAAGACAATATACTCAGAAAGAGATGGAAGACCATCGAACTTTCCCTGGAGAAGTGTTTTTCCTGATGGTCAGAAAATAGGATATCAAAATCCACAAGTACAATGGAATTTATCCATGAAGCACCTCTTATAATAGTATGGCATAAAACATTGGAATTTCTAAATATATCAATATGCATGCCACTTATGAAATATGGGTGACAACTTACATGAAGGTTGTGTCACCAATCGTGTATTTCCTGCACCAGAAAAGGCATCCTCTTCCTCTTTAAGACATTCTTCATCTTCTTCTTCCTCTGTTACCTTGGATGCATGACGGCCCCTAGCGAAAAAAAAACCCATTTAAGTGAGAAGCCAAAATGAAGAAAAGCATATTCGTTATATGAATTGCTACAACTGTAACCTTGTACTTCTAATAAACCTATTAAAGATATAAGATGACAATGTATCTTCTAATCTACCTATTAAAGATATAAGATGACAATGTACCTTGCTTCAAATACTTATCTGGCATTTTATTACTCTAGGTTTTTCTTTTGAAAAGGTAAAGTATAAATAAAATAAACAAGAAAGAAAAAAAGTACAAAGAGGCTCAAACCACAAAATTTAACACCAGCTACAGCCACCAGGAGAGCCAAAAGAGAACCCCAGCCAGAAGGGCACACCCAACAACAAGCCTACTTAACCAAGCAGAGGACAAAACAAAGACTGCCAAAACCAGCCTAGCATCTCTCCCTTGCCCTACACATAGGGGTGTCGATTGGACTGGATTTGGTCCAATCCGATCCAGTCCAATGTGAGTCCATTATTAATGGACCAGATCCAATCCAATGAATGTTTTGGACCAATTTGGACTGGTCCAATTCAATGTCTAGACCGTTCAATCTGTTTTAAATCATTTTAATTTAAATTGGCTTTAACCCATACCCGGTCCATTGACACATATATTCTTATCTTATATCAATGGACCATATATTGGCTTAATCCAACCCAGTCCAATATAAACTTGTAATGGACGGACCAAATCCAATCCAATCTAATAAATATTTTGGACCAGATTGGTCCAATCCAATATGTCTTGTTGGTCTATCCAATCCGTCCAAATTGATTTTGGACTGGACGGGGTTCAATCCAAAACCGGTCCATTGACACCCTTACCTACACTTAAGGACCCAAAAAAAAAACAGGCCAGCCCCCACCCCCACCTTGGCTCAAAGCAAAGCACAACGAAACACAAAAACAACCTTTTAAACCAAGCCCTTCTTTCCTCTACCCCTTCTAGACCTACCTCGGCTACTGCATCTTCCAAATCTGTTAGTCTTCACCACCACACCATCATTGAAATCAGCAAGCTTCTTAGCCCCTGCAACCCAGGACGCAGTCCATACTAGCCAGCAACAAATCTGATTCATAGCTGCTCTCAGCCATCTGAACCACAACCACCCCTACGTGCTTCTTCTTCTACAAACTAGCACAAACTTCGAGGTGACTTGTCTCCAAGGAAGTCAGCAACTTTGCATCCTCTCTCCCCATCAGGAAAAGAAACACTTAAGCATCTTCCAAAATCCATTTAACACAGCCACATTATGAGCAAGGGAGCAATTGTTGCTGTTTTCTTGTGGCCCATGGGCAATTCCTGCTATCCCTACCTCTGAAATCACCAAGTTAATTGGAGAGGTATCAAAAGCAATTGCAACATCCAAACTGCCTTCTCTGTCTTCTGCTACCTCCACATTGAACCAACAGGGGCCCTCACTGTCTTCTGCTTTCCATGTCCTCATTGCCTTAGCATTAATCACCAAGTTATCACTCTAGGACTCAGTTCTTTGTTTTTTTATTTATTGGTTTATTTTTGGTTCTGTATGGTGTCTTTCTTTAAGCATTCCTCAAAACAAAGGTATCTTTCTCAAAGCAGTTTTACTTTTGGCGTCCTTTGGAAGTGCTTTTTATATTCCTCTTTGTCAAATTCTATTTCTAGGTAGGTGCTAGGCTCTCCAATGCATGTAGGTGTTCCAGTATGGCCTAAAATACCTATGCACCTTGACAACTATGACACAGACACAAGCATGCATGCACACACAGCAAAAAAATGGAATTGTAGAGAACTTCCAATCAAAACTATGGCAAATGCTCCGAATGAAACATATATATATATATATATATATATATATATATTTCAACTTATACACGAAAAAAATTATTTGTTAATCATCAACAGAATGCATGATCCACAAATACAGCATACCCTAATTTTTTTTTATCAATAACAATTTCAGCAATTTTATTAAAATATCACAAGAATAGTTACAGCAAGGAAGACAAACACTCTTATCTTCCAAAAACAACTTAAGTTCTCAAAGAAAGAAAAGGAAAAGAAGAAGCAGTTTAGTTACAACTTAGCCCAAAACATTACATCCCTTTCTATCCCCTGTTTGGCTAGCCCATCAGCTATAGAGTTAGCTGTTCTTTTAACCCAACTCATCCTGATTTCCATTTCCCGCAATAGCCACTTGAATTTTCTCCTCTCAATGCTGTATTTCCATAATACACAGTTGTCTTTCCTCAGCCACCCTATCACCACCTCCGAGTCCCCTTCAATTATGAGTTTTCCGGTATCCATCTCCTTAGCTTTCTGAACTCCTTCCACAACTGCCAAGATCTCAGCTCTAAGAGAATCCCCCACTCCAATTGGACCTGAGAACATGGCAGAAATGACCCCGTTCTCATCCCTAAAAACACCCCCAATCCTTGATTGTCCAGGATTCCCTAACAACACACCCTATCTCTGTGGAACTGTCTTGAAATACTGATGCATGAAAAGTATCTAACTTCTCTAAAGCATGGCCTGCAGACTTAAGATGTGAACATAAATAAAAACACTTTTCCTAGTTCTTTTCCAAAAAGAATGCTAGCAATATCACATACTCGTGATGAAGTAAATCTGCTTTTTGATCCGTCTTTTTTTGGTTGGCCAACAAAGAAAGGGAAAGTAATGTGGAAATGTATTAGGGCAGCCCTCTTATGGACCATTTGGGAGGAAAGAAATGCCAGAATTTTCCAGGGGAAGGAGAGAAGCATTGCTGAAATAAAGGAGTGTATACTAACAAGGGCAATCCTTTGGCTAAAAACTACTGATCTCTTTGCGGATTACTCTAGTGATGACCTTCGAAGGAGTTGGACAGCAGTAGCCTCCACATCATCCAAGAAAAATAGAACACCAGCAAGTTGGTTACCCCCTCCGGACGGAGTTGTAAAGTTGAACTTTGATAGGAGCGGTCAAGGCAATCCAGGACCTTCAGGTATAGGAGGGATCTTGAGGAATAAGGATGGCAACATTCTGTCCTTATTCTCAGGTCCAATGGGTTATGGAGACTCTACAAGGGTTGAGATATTAGTTGTGTGGTACAAGGACTACAGATTTCCAACCAACTTGGAGTAACTAATTTGATAGTTGAAGGAGACTCTAAGGTGATAGTGGGATGGATGTCGGACCCAGAAACTATTGTTTGGGGATATAGGGACATCATCAAAAAAGTCAAATGGCTTACGAGAACCATGTCAATTAGCTTTTAGTGGGTTAGTAGATCGACAAATGCTTTGGTAGATTCTTTAGCTAAACAAGGGGCTTCAAGGGATTCTCTATTTTTGGCTAATTTGTAACTGCAATTTGAAAAGAGTTGGGTTTGGAACCACCTTTTAGGGGAGGTAACACCTCGTGCCTCTATTTAAAAAATACCACTCATTCATCAAAAAAATATCACATACTCATGAGACATAGATTGATAATAGGAGATATAGAAAAAGCATATGCAACATGAGGTTTGAAGTATGACACACTTGAAGTCTTGAATTGTTGTGATCCTTCCTCTTTGAAGTATCTCAAGGTCTAATGAATTTTGGGATGATTAATTGTTGAGAGCTTGGTTCACTACTTGCATTGTTCTTCAATTTTTCCTGATTCTGGAACTTTCCTAATTTTCTTCAATTTTATTGGTTATGAAGATTGAAAGGAGAAAGATAGAGTATCAACTATCAATGTGCCAGTGTCATAATACAGTTTAGCTGGGTGCCAATAGTCTCAGCTGCTTTTAACCTCCCAATAAAAAATGTCATAAATTGCATCCGCAACATACCTTCCTCTTGGTTTCTTTTGAGATGCAGATTGATTTCCTTTGGCAAAATGGGAAAATATCTCTGTCTGCTGCAGTAGATACTTCAAACGGCCCTTCCCTTTATTGTTCTGGTGCCAAAACATCCATCCGTGACTCCCTCTACCACGACAAGTGAAAAATAACAAATAGAAAGTAGCAATATGGTCAACCTATAGTGAATCACGCACCATGTCAGCATCAATAGCAGCATTTTGGGCATCCAAGATTTCCTGGATTTTTTGTTTCTTCAGCCTTTGCAATTCTTTCAGTCTGGCCTTTTCACGCTTTCCAACCTCAGCATTACCCGAAGTGTCTCCACCCTGTAGGAAAATAACAAAAAAAAAACTTAAATGGTAAAAAATGCTTAGACAACATATACTCTATAACACATATAAGGCCCCTCTTAGAACACCCAGAGAAATAATCGAACAGTGGCACAAAAATTAGCTATGTTTGACATGTATAATCGAACCGAGGAAAACTGGACGAGGCAGAGAGAAAGAATTTGAATGAACGCTCTGTAATAAATTGAGCAAGTGTGTGCATATGCATCCGAGGAGGAAACTCAGACAAGACTAAAAATCGCATATATTCACATATAACTGAGAAAAAATAAATAAATGGGAAAAGGATTAGTACGTTCATAAAATTTCGAATGGTAAGCTAAGCAGTGAAACCAGGAAGTGCAAGTGAGATGAGGAAAAGCGACAGAGAAGTACCTTCCAATGTAACAATCAAAACCCTAAACCTACAAAACCCTCCAAATACCAGTTGACAGAGGAAAGAATCACAAAAACCTTAACTAGCAAATAAAATACGTAACCATTTCATTCGAGGAAATTCTGCAAATCCAATAAAAAATTGAAGTCTGCATCCTTGGTCCTTACCTCCTCATCCTCATCCTCTTCGCTCTTCCCATCGGCGCCCGTGTCGTCGTCAGTCTGTGAATTGTCCTCGCCTGCTTCGTCATCATCAGAGCCAGTCGTCCTCCCGACGGCTTCGAGCTCTTCTTCGTCCTCCTCTTCGTTGATCTCTTCGTTCTTCGGCTCCTCATCAGAAGAAATCGAGCAATTCGACGGAGCCTCGGAGGAGGAGGCCTCGGAATTCGAGACTTTCACCATGGATTACCAGATCGAAGGTTTCGTCGGCGAGAGCGAAGGAGGGCAGGAGAGAACCAAGGCAGAAAGAGGAGTAAAGGAGAGCAAGAGGAGAGGCAGTAGACAAAAACATAACTATTTACTGGACAAGCAGGTGTAAATACGTTGAAATGACCGGGGTAATAATGTCCAAATGTTTTAGGGGAATTTCCCGCCAACTATTCGGTGAGGATGACAATTTCCCGCCGTCGGTACAAAGTGGCGCTTACGTACACATCTCAGCGTACATTAACAACATCTCCTGTAATTCATGGTAAGATGATCGGAATACACGGTTTGGATGTAATGTGGAGCGCGTGTAGGGCGGGCGCTCATGCGAACTCTTTCACCGCCTTTAGATCGAATGTGCCCGAATGTTTGTGGGTTGGGAGTTGGGATCTCTTGCCAACGAAATACGTTCCAAACCAACTCCATGTAACACCGCACATAATGTTAATAATCTCTAAGAATATATTTTGTTGGCAGGTGATCCGGACATCAAGATTCAAGGCCCAGCTGGATATAGAGGTATGGTTATCATAAGTTGGTCCAAAGTTTTTGCCTGTTGTTGAAACCTTGCCTGAGCAGTTGTAAGTATATTCTCTCTCCTCCAACAAGATGCATGTCAAATGTCCAAAATACTCATGTAACGTTTGACTAAATTGTTTGTTTTCCAATTTTTTTCTTCATAATATTAATTTCTATCTTAAACCCTTTCAATATTTTTTTTAAAATGGCAAAATTCTTAAAGTACCCCTATGGTTTAGGAAATTTATTAACTTTACCCTTATTGTTTATATATTATCTTAAAGTACCCCAAGTTTTCTAACAATTGACATTGCCATTAAACACTAATGAAAAAATAAAATATAGAATTTGGCCTTCACTATTCCCCAAATTTTCAAAATAAAACTCATCTAATGAAATTTTTCAAGTCCAGGTGCAATCGGTGGCTTTTCAGGCGATAAAACCCATGATTCAAGTTAAACAAAGACACCCCTATTCACCCACCTGTTTTCCTTTTCCTTCAGCATCATTGGAGGGCTACGATGATGGCAAACACAAAAACTCAACATTGGTTTTGCTCTGGTTTGGTAATCCAAGAAATGCAAGAAAATGAACTAATAACCAAAACCTGACCCAAATAAGGAGCCTCTATATTCTAAATCTAATCAACTCAAATATGGTGGTCATAGGCATTATATATGGAAAACTCAAACCCATCATCACCTTTCCTAGATGGCTGGGTGAAATTTCAAAAAAAAATTATCCCAACATGGGAATTGATTTATTGGTAATTTCGAAATCTGAATTTCTAGATTGATCATGCACTAAACTATACCAAATTTGAAAGCAAAATTAAAATTGATTTTACTTGATATGGAGACCACAAATCACAACTCCCAGAGTGAGTGTTCACGCCTAATATCAGTCCCAAAACCAGCTTCCAACTGAAAATGGTGCGGTGTACGGGAGAAGACAGTTCAACAACACTGTTTTCAGCAAAAATATCAGTCCAACTTGCTTTGATCGAATGCAATATATAATCACGGTTTTCCCAACGTTTTTTATTGCAAAAACTCATAGGAAAAACTAATAAAAAACAATTACTGCAATGGTTATATCGTGATAGGGTTTATGAAAGGTAAGAGACAAGAGGATAGAGCAAGAGAAAAGGACAAGTTCTACTTGCTCTTTTCCTCTTAACCCCCCTTATATGGAGCACTCTCCTAATGCAATTAGGAGATTATTCAAATCTAATTTATATTTAGACTCTTTTACTATATAAGCATTATCCTCTTAAGAGGTGCTCTATACTCAGAACCATGCCCAATTTCAACCCAAAAACACTTTAAAGCTTGACTAATCTCAATAGTATTGGGCCTTTGGCCCATTTTCTTTAATGGCTCACATTTTTATGTGTTGCATGGCCACTTTGGGCCTGATATTTTATGGTGTGGGACCCCACAAAGGTCTTACACAAATCCATGAGGATTTGGCCTGAGCCAATCAGCATGGGCTTAGTTTGGGCCCAACATTTACACCTAAATGATCATTGGATTCAACCACCCTATAAAGTCAATTAGGTAATCAACACTGTAATGGTCTCTCACACTTAACCTCTTTACCCATAATGATCACAACATTGTCTGACAGGGAAAGATCTCTCCCCTGGTTACAAGACGTAGTGTCACACTCTCTGCTCGAATTGATCATGGGATTAAAACTTTTTACAAACCCTTTTCATAAAATAGGTATATATGTAACATAAAATAGTGTATATATAACATATAAATATATTTTGCAAAATCAAATTTTAAATACAATTTAAATTCACTACCGGTAGTTTAAGTTTCAATTAAATAAAATGTAAATCTTGGTATTCACCTTGTCTAACAAAGGGACCAATCCTATCACTATGATCGCCCACTCAGGTGATTTTTTTAAATTGCCCCAACATGCCAAAGTATTTGACCCTTTATGGATCTTACTGGTTGGCATATCAAATATAGCCCAGTCCAACACTTAGTATAGTACCATAATCAAGTATGGAGTAAAGTATAATTTTTCAGTTTTGCCCATTTATCTCAAAGGTCCAAGGCATAACTGGAAATTGGTCCAAGTTCGATGCTTCTTGTAAACACCCACTGATTGTGCTTGGAGTCTAGCCCTATTAGTCGAGACAAATTGCTCCAACTACTTTGTAGCACACCAATGTTAGCCATGTCAAGATAAATTCTCAAAGTCTATCCAAGGGCTGAGAACATTATAAACTAACACGGGTCATCTTCAGTGTTTAGTTTAAAGAGTAATACAGATAAAGCATACCAATATAAACATGAAACAACAATGTATTTTATTCATTTACAAAAATGTTTATGTACATTAGTCTGATTGGAGCTAAATGTATGCACTGTCTAACATTGCTTTTGTAGCAAACCATCTCCTTCAAAAGCATTAGAACCCAACAAAGCTTAAATGGCGATCTCTTCCCCCCAATCATATCTCCTCCTCAAAACCATGCCCTGGGATTGAGGTGCGTCCCAATCCAATAGGAAATCCCCCAAAGAACCAGTCTGACGCCTCTGCCAAAGATATAAAGGTTACCACATACAGAAGAGCAAAACAACTTAAATGTATTCTCAAGAGGTCATTGTTATGGTCGCTATAGTAACTTTAACTAGCTATGAATAGTTAAGGTTTTACAGGTGAGATTTCTTAATTGCTACGCATATCAATTCATGAAGCTTGAATCACTTGAAAGGTGCTTGAAGATTACAAGACTTGAAGCAACTATGTGTCCCAAACATCTCCACCAAATTCTTTTTTTATTTCTTCAAGAGGCAGAGGAGCATAAACTAAAAGAATAAAAGACATTGAAGGAATAAATTTGGATGCTTCAACGCACAAGGGAGGATTCTTCTTGTAAGTATGATTAATCTTTCCCTTTTCTACACATTTCGACCCCGCTAAAGAAATCAATCAAGGATGGGAACCCTCATTTATTTGTTGTCAAAGCATCTTGTCATCGTCAGTTTCAGGTGGAGTCACGCCCATTCTTGGGGCTCCACCTAGTCTTTTTTATTCACCTCTATAGTCGCCTACATCACCCTATCGGTCTTCCTCCACCTTGTATTGGTTCTCTTCGGCCACCGACGCCCAATTTCCCTTGGACCCATCTCTACCATCCACAAACTAACCATGGTTTTGATCACAATAGTGATTGGTCTTTCAATAACAACAACACCGGGATCTTCTGATGCCACAACAGAAATCGTAACAATGACTATCATGTAGAAACAAAAGCAACCCAATTTTGATGCTTCACAACATCGCTCCCATCTCTATTCCAAAATCCACTTCTCTAGGTTGTGGTTGTCACGTCCACCAACAATGCAAGCAAAGCCCCAATTAAGGTGACTAAACCAAAGAATGGGAAGTCCTTCAAATGGTGATGGTTGGTGACTTGACAATTAGAGAGGACACTGAACACATTAGGGAGGACATGGACTATAGATGTGGAGATGATTGCCCTGACAACAAAGCATTTGATAACTAGGAGAATATGCTCATATGTGGGTTTCTTGTGCAATTAGCAATAAATAATCACCGATGAAGATATACCCAAGACATTGGTGAGAAAGATCATAACAATGGATATGAGCTTGAGGGTCCCGCTCATGAGCTGTGATTCTTACCCGGCTTACAGAAGATGGACGGAAGATAATATTGGGTTTTCTAAAAAAAAAGTTTAATGTCACATGGTGTCAAATGTGCAGATTTTGACGGACATTAACGAATGCTAACGGTAGGGGCAAAACTGGTAAATTGTTAGAAAATTTAATGATACTTTAAGACAACATGTAAACAATAGGGGTAAATCTGTTCAATTTCCTAAACCATAATGATACTTTAAGAAATTTCTCAAATTTGCCCTTAATATCAATCCCTCAAAGGTAAACCTACAACTTTAAACTCTCTTATTTTGTTTTTGTTGTTTATAAAGTTTGTATTTTTTTTTGTAAAAACCAGCATCAATTGTAATTGCATGGGTATCTTAGACATTTTTTATGCCTCTTGTTAGAGAATCCTAACAGAGGGATCTAGTTGCAACTATGTCAAAAAGTTCTTGTAAGATTATCGCAACTACCAAACTTTAGGGAGGTTTCAACAATTTATCCTTATAGTTTTTATGTGTGAGATATTAAATATATAATATTTTCATATTGTATAATAATATTTTACACATATAATTATTATAGGAATCATATTATAAATTTATATATGAAATATAAAAGGAGCTCATTTATGATACTTGAAAGACATGACATTGGAAAAACTCATAACCAATCAATCGACCGATATCATAAAAGAGGTGACTAATCAGGTGGTATTCATTAAAATTTATGAGGGTGCTTTGATTGGTCAAATCTCTTACAATACCCCATGTCTTTCTAGTATCATAGATTTTTCCAAAATCATGGGTCGGGCCAAAAATGATCACCCCTAGTATGGGAATTTAGTGGAGAGACTATACCCTTTTCCTAACTCATTTGAGGATATAGAATCTTGAAGTTCACCAAG